TTATATTAAAATGAACCTGTAGCTACCTGTTCGTTATTTATTCAAAATAAAGTGACCAATTAAACAAGCTAAGATAACTAGTCAGTTGTCTCTTAGGACATGCTATAGGTACAAAAAAAAAATGGTTTATACATTTTATAAGAAATAAAAAGTCAACGAATTTCTACAGTCAATATTACTGAGTTCTGCACAAACTCAAATACGAAGCATCTATGGGCTATAAGATGCATTGTATCGTTATATTCAACATAGATGGTATGTAATATTTTAACACGAGAATGTACGTAAAACAAAACTGTTGGTTTTACATGATATTGCCAAGATAACTCGAAAAACGTAAAATAATATTACGTCTGAAAAAAAAACAGTAATATAGCGTCAAGCAACAACAAGAGTCTGAGACATTTTCATAAGTTTTAGTGTTTATTACACAAAAAGCGACAACGAGAAAAAATTTAATCTATTTTCGCATACTATACGTGCCAAGTGTTATACAGCTAAATGTGCAGTTTGTTTTCACTGTGGCCATTCTTAGATGAGGACAATTATTTCAGGATAAGATTATTTATTTGTTTTAGACTCCAGRTGTGCTCAGACTTTTATACGGTGAAAAAATAAAATGCGTCATCTTTCCGGTAGGTATATACATATACATACATATCTATATTTAAAATTTTTATTATACTACCGTACCATTTAAAATCAACGATTTCGCCAATAACGATGCCAATCAGTTCTTTACCCTTTTTTTTCTTGTGATAATGTGGTGTCGTCAGCAATGAATAAAGAATGTTCATGATCAACACTTAGATGCTCAAGTCTATTTCACGAAAACAAAAATTTWAAATCAAAATTGGTTATTATTTTACATTTAACATTTTAATTATTAAATACGTACGGAAAATAATTAACTGCAGACATTTTCACCTATAATGATGCTGATGAATTAGCAATAACAGTTGAAGAATTGAAAGCCAATGAACGTGGATTATACAAACAAATGTACACAACGGAAAAGAACGAAAGATAAATTCAATGAGGATATGTAAGTACTTAAAAAATAGGTTTCAATTACCTATATTATAATTTGTAATGTCCAATGTATATATAATATACCGCAGATAGATAATATTTCCAATTAAAATGCAAAGTCAATCGCTTATTTTTTATTCAAGCAATAATTTAAAATTTCAATGACCTGGTATATATTAAAAATTATTTAATTTCCCTTTCAGCATACCTACCTTTCTTTTATTGAACCTGAAATAAATAATTAATCCAACATTTAAAACGTGACAACAA